AAAGTAAGGTCCAAAACACACTGCAGTAAGAAATGCTAGGGATCTGTAATTTGTTGTGTTTATTTTCCTGCTAAGCACCTGCATGTCATAAGCATTTGAATTAACATTACCATATTAAAATCAAATCTAATTTTTTAAAAATTTTATTTGGTGTGTGTTGGAAAGGGGGGTCGTCTTATACGGCAAGTATATCCCGAACTCTATATTTTGACTGGGAAATGGGGGGGGGTCGTCTTATACGCCCGGTCGTCTTATACGCCGGAAAATACGGTACATACAGCTTGGGGTGGACTTTGGGTCTGGCTCCAAACACCGTGCTCAAATTGCAGATTTGAGGAATTTAAAAACATTTTGACAGGACAAATAAATTTCCAGTCCCAGAAAACCACATCCACTTCTGTGTTTGCCTACAAGATATAGCCATTAGAAATGAGACATTATGGGGTTATTGTTTTTTGGGTTTTTTTGTAGAGTTTCACACTCCATATGCAATAACTCAGATATGGTCTCAGCAAGGTAGAACTAAAGGTTTCTTTTCTCTACTTCATGAATATTTTCTATTCCTTTATCACTCTGCATTAGCACAACAGAACCTGAAGCTGAGAGCAACAAGCTAAGTTGCTTTCTTGAAGATAAAGACATCTAAGCTTGCAGCCATGAGAACACAGAAATAATTGTTCCAAAAGTGTCTGACCATCAATTAGAAAAGTTCAGGAATAATTCTAACCAATCCAAAATGTTAACAGCCTTCCAAATAAAAAATAAAATAAAATGTTATGCAGGCACTCTATAAGACAGTGGTGACACTAGGGGGATGTAATGGGTATGGACTTCACCAAATGACACCCTTAGGGGGAAGGGTGACTCCGGCCTCAAACATCGCCTTTTTGGTAGAAATGATCTGTGGCATTCACTTGTATCCCCTTAAAATGCTGAAGAGATGGTGTGAGTGGGATGACATTCAGTGGGAGGAGAAAGGAAAGGTCCCAGTTTTTTTTAAATTAAAATTTTAATTTAAAAATATTTTTAAAATTCTTTTTAAATTTGCTTTAAAAACATCACCTTTTATCAAATTTTCACTTCAACCACATGAAACTATGCATATGCTGTGCATATGATATTGTAATTTAAAGGTACAGTTTTAATTTTGCTAGTTGTTTTATATCACAACTATTACCATGATATTCAGTGATATGCAGGAATTATGATTAATGAGTAACAGTAGTACAAAAACCATTACTAAAGATTCTGTACAGTGTGGTAAGGGAAGTGGTCAATTGTGGGGGGGTGACACCATGAGTTATCATACTGGGTGATGCCAACCCTAGTGATGCCACTGCTATAAAAAACTATTTATGGACTTTTTGAGCAATAACAAATCTAATGAAGTAACACTCTGTAGCTATGTTTATTAGTAATTTTAGCAATATTACTAATCTTATTTATTTATTATTTAACAGCTCCTTTTTTGAGAAGTAGCTATCCCCAAGTACCATCATGAGAAACCTGCCTGAAAGACAGCATTGGAACCACTGAAGTACAGTGCCTCCAATTCCCAAATTCCCCCAGGCATTCCAGATGGTATTGAACACTGCTGAGCAGTCCAAAAGCACCAACATGGGGAAAACTCCCCCTTCAATGCTCAGGCAAAGATCATTCACTAAGGTGACCATAGCAGTCTCAGCTCTGTATCCTGCACTGAAATCAGTTTGAAATAGGTCTAAATAATTTGAATCATCCAAGGCTGCCTGGAATTGGAAGGCAACTCTCCTCTCGATCACCTTGCCCAGAAAAGGGAGATTTGGGACTGGTCTATAGTTGTTTAAATCATTGAGTCCAGGACAAGGCAAAGCTAGAAAAAGTTAGGGCTTAAAAAAAAAGAACTTTGTTGGCTTCATTTACATATGGCAAGTCTACACTGACCAGAATACTCTGTCCAGAATACCACAGTCCCACAGCAAATCAGTCACCCTTCTACCACTCCTCCGCCGTGCGCTACCCCCCCACACAC